AAGGCACAAATAGGTTGAGCAAATGACTTCCTGAATTACAGCCCAAACAAACAGCCAGAAAAAAGCGAAAAAATAAAGGAGAAGAAAAATAGGAAAAACAAGCAGAGCCAAATTGCATAATCAGTGAGACAAATGCAGCGGATTATGAAATCCTTCGCTCAAAGGCTACCCGGCACTGCGCGGCGTGGCGCGGCTGGAAGCCGCAGACGGTCCAGACGGAAGGCTGCCAAGCAACGCCAGCAACAATGTAACCTGGCTCTGGGCTTGGGGAAAACTGGCAGCAACCTGTCGCATATTTAAAGCGATTAACGGCACGATTTCAGCCAGCAGCTCGGCCTCAGCGCCAGAAATTGAAATTGAAATGCTTTTGGCAGCGCCAACACTTTTGCTACTCATATAGGGCACATGGGTAGATTAGCTAACTCAGTCGGTTGGGCGAATTGAGCTAAAAGGGTAAGCAGGCTTGAGAGTATTTTCATAAGCAAAGCTTAATAAAGTGTGTTACATATCATCACATAAAAGTAGACAAATTTGCAGCAGGCAGATTAAATAGATATGAATTGAAAATAAAATATTTTTTGAAGCACACGTCTTGAACTCTGCTTGGCCCATAAAATACTAAAAGTTCTTAGCACTGGCTAATAAATATTTGTTACATTTGCGGGTCTAAGCATCGGAATATATTTGATCAAATGATGAGATAGTTAAACTCTTTGCCTGTTATAATGTATTCAAATATAAAAGGACTTTTTAACGTTTGATTATATATGTATGTAATCAAAAAGGTATGTAATCAAATTATTTTAAAAGTAAATGAAATTCTTAAATTTTATATTTTTCAAGCCAAAAGTATAACGATCTATATGTCTAATCGTATCTATATATTATAGTTTTCCTATGTCTATCAGCTTTAATAGCGATTTTGGATCCAGTATAACAGTAAAATTCAACCTTTGATTTTTTCTCCAAATCAAATTTCCTCCAGATCTTCCTATCAACATTTTTTAAAGATCAATTTTGCTAAGTTTGTTTGAAAAATTAAGTAAGATAGTTCACAGTTAAAAATTGATGACCCATTTTTAGCAAATTCAAAATAATTTTTTTTAAATTTTATTTAAAAAAACAGGTTCTGAAAAGATACAGACACAACTATTATTGTACTTAAAGAAGAATAGAACATAGTAGTATAGAAAGTATGAAGGACGCTCAATGTAAAAAATTGAAAATACCAAAAACAATTTAAATTTCTGTATGGAAATATAAAAATTGTATCATTTGGTTTAAAGGGCAGTGCATATTCGTTGTACTCCGTCTTCTGTTTATTTCTTGGCTTGTTTGTAATTTTCTCTTGTTGTTGCTGTTGTTGTTATTGCAATTCGTGTAGCTGGCATCGCAGACAAAATTGAAAACGTTTGTAAATACTTTGAAAGCATTTGCAGCAATTGAACAAATACAAAATGGTTTTTAGCCGTCGCTCTTTGGGGAATCGTAAAAAATAATATATATATATATATATATATATATGTAAACTATATATATTTATATATGTAGTCTGCATACTTGCCGCGTCAGTTTGTTGTTTCTGTTTTCTGTTTCTATTTATTTGTATTATTTGCCAGCTTTTCCTTTCGGCCTTTCCTCCAGCCATGGCAATTGACCTATAAATAAAGTTGGCAGCCAACACAACAGCGGCCAAATATGGCACACCGAAAATTGTGCAATAAATGCACATAAACTGCAAATAATAACTACATAACAGCAGTAACAACAGCAATGCCAGCAACTGCAGCAATATTTATAAAAGTATCAGAAACCACGCTCTCAATTTCCTAGCCAATTGGACATTTCTTTAACTGGCCAAGCGCAACTGATTGACTTTTGAACTTAGACAATTTTCGAGGCGGCAACAGAAAAATGGTTAAGTAAGAAATTTTCCTCTGGCAGAGATTGTGATTGCATAAAAATGCAGAAAAAAAAACATAAGTATATATTTTACATATGTATTTGTGAGTAAAAGTTTATCTGACTATGCAGTCTTTCATTATGGCACTTATAGCAAGCCTCATGCTACACATATTAAGTTATAATTACGTATAATATGCCAATACAACAAATAAGTAAACTAGAATAGAGCCTGAAGGAAGCAACGCTCCAAGGCTTCGCTTAATGGCCGAGTTATTGCTCTCTAAATCAAATCGCTTTTCATGCGACAAATCATATCGCTTTATTGCTCTATTTGAAGGCTCGTTGCGTGCACAGCAAAACGGCTTGTTAGCCAGCATAAAGTCGTTTAGAAAGGCAGCTTTAACTCTTTAAGAGTTAAGCCAAGGCAGATGAACTGAATGGCATTTGGGAACAAAGTTCAGTTAAATGCTTTATTATTTTATTGTATTACAAGAGGGAGATTCTACTTCAGTTTAAGTCTTTATCCATATATATATATAATGTCAAAGCAAACTCTACAGAAAACATTTATCAGCTGTTAAATGAGTTGTCAAATAAATGAGTATTGGCGACACAAATATAGGAAGCTCTAAAGTAAATCAATTTTTTGTGGTAAAAAAATTAATTTTCTATAATTTAAGGAGGTCTTGTTTTAAATATAGTTAAAGTTGAAAAAGGTTTTTATTTGCAAATTTTTATTCTATGGAATATTTGAATGCCAATTGAGATAAATATTTAAAGCAAACTACGCCAATTGTTATTTTGAAATCAGTTTGACTTGACTAGAAATACCTAAATTTTGAGCCAATTAATTTCAATTTGAAGTAAAATATGTTCGGTGTTTAACCGAAGACTTAAAAGCTCTTCTAACTATTTGCCGTGATGTATTTTAAGACTTCCACCTATAGCTGGCTGGATTGGGTTACATTTCTGCTGCACAACAATTGATGATGGCCTCTTAGTTTATGCCTCGCTTCCAGCTACTGTCTGTCCAACAAGTGCCAAACGCTGCTCGTAAACTAAAACCAGCTTCAACAACTAACAAAAAGAAGAAAAACCCAAAGCTCAACAAGCTAACGCACACACACGCAGTGTAAATGTATAGCAGTTTGCGCTGAGGATGTGTTTGCCCTGAAGCATGCTTCATGGGGAGAGAGGGACGGAGTGGGAGAGCGCATTATACTTATATCATAAAACAAAGAATTTTGGTTATTTTTCGCAAAGCTTCTCTCTCTTTCTCTGTCTCTTTCTGTATAGCCGCAGGGCTGGCATTTGGTTGTAGTGGCGCACTTAATGGCAAAAGCTTTTATCAGCTCCGATTACACAATTTAAAGCAACAAAACTGTCACTTTAAATGCAATACAAAGTGCACCCCCTCGTGTAGACCCCTTCCTTTTTTTACTAGATTTTTGGCATGGCACCTGAAGCCTTGTTGGCTCATTGAAAAGTCCTGTGGTTGCCCCACCGCAACATTGTTGCCGAAAACCAACGTAACCCAAGCCAAGACAGACGCACAGCTGGCAACATTTTCCCTCCCCCACTCTCTGTGTCTCTTCAGCTGGCAAGTGCTCCTACTACTTGCTGGGCAAGCGTAACTCAGCTTAAATAAATTTAATTTAATTACCAGTAAAAACCGCATGAGTGACTCCCAGCTAGATGAGTGAGCCGTGTGCAAGGACGTGCCTGCTATCTAGCACACAGTCGCAATTTTCACAAACACTGAAGAGTCTTACCTGGCTTAAGTGTATCTATGTGTGTGCGTGTGTTTATTTAGGAAATAACATTTTTGTGGCAACACATTTTTGGATTTTATTACAGAGTTGAGTGCGTGGCGTTACCTCGCCCTCGCCCTCTCCCCACGCCACGCCCTTTCCCGCTCTGCCTGAGGTCAGCTTGCATTTTATCATTAGAAGCAACGATAAATAACCTTAATGTAGTGGCCGCTGCTGTAGCTGCCTTTGCTTTCTAGCTTAACATGTTTAATTACAAGCGACTCTCATCTCACATATCACATTTCAAAGCATACTTTTAGGCGGCGCGGAAAAAAGTGCTCGTGAAAGTGTTGCCGAAGCAAACGGGCCACGAGTTGACACTACACACACACACATACACACACAGACACACACACATTAGATTCTCTTTGGCTGGGACAAGGTCAAGTGACTCGAAACTCTTGCTGCTGCACTCGACGCTCGACGGCACGATTATTATGCAAATTGGCCTGGCAGTGTTGGCACACGTGGGCAAATACTTGAGCGGCGGCTTAATGGCGAGCTGCAGCCACTCGAGACACAAAAGTGAGAGTCAACTCAATATAACCAGCAAGAAAAGCGGCTGCCTTACGATCACTATTAATCTGCAACCCGACTTACCTGCTGTGTCACTCTGCGCGCTTATGACGTGACAGGAACTCGACTATGGCCGTGTGCACAGGGCAAAAAATTATATACCATAGTTATCAAGAAAATATTTATGCTTCAGATAGATAGGCTACAATTCTTGAGGCTTAAGAAATCGGAATATATTGATATATAAGTACTTCAATACTTCAAGCAAATTCATTTTGGGACATCAACGAACAGAATCTTCACTTAACTAACAAACATAACAATTGAAGCTACATTTTATTTAAATTAAATATAATTATGTTATTTGATTCAAATATTTAATCGCAAATAAATTCTATTTTATTCGATTTTATATGCCCTTAATTTTGCTATTTAGCATTTTGGTTTCTTATGTATTATTTATTTCTATTTAGATGTTTTATGAAGATTCGAAGGAGGTTCAGTAAAGATTATTCATGTTTGCAGAAAAATAAAAAAGAAATTCTTTTAAAGGAAGCTACAACTAGTAATTGAGTTCTAGTATGATAATCTTCATCTAATCTGCATACTAAATATTCCATACAAGTTTGACATACTTAAAAAATAAACAGATTGTAATAAATTGAATAAATAAAAACAGTATAAATATTTAATATTATATAAAAGATATCAAACTTATAAATGAAAGCAATTTGTATTTCTACAATGAGACAATGAGTACGCATTCCTTATTCCCAAAAATCTGCTAGTTAACAGCTGTTAAATAATTACATTTTTTCTATTCTATCTGTCAAATCTACAATTAAATTCCATTTTTGAGACTCGATTATCAACTTGATTGTTCGCCTTAGTATGCAGTGGTTTCTTTCATTGACCTTCTGTTGACCTTCTGCACATTAGCGTTCACCTGGCGATTCCGCCAATTTGCTTGAGTCTCAGTACAAATGTCCCAGTTGAATATGCAATGCATTTCTAGTCGGCTTTCTGGTCAATTCTGTTCGCTTGATATTTGTTGAATAAAAAGTATAAGAGATAAAAGAAAAAATTTAAAAATACTTGTTTTATTGTTTTAAGATTCAAATCAATTCTTTTAATTCGTATGTGCAAAAAATACCCTACCTCATTTAATAAAAAAGTCAAACATGATTCTTTTATCTCACATTTATTTTTATCTCTTAATAAGCCTTTCATTTGGTATAAACATTCATAATAATATTACTTGTTTAATTAAAGCACAAAATAAATTGAATGGGGAGATTGATATTTTCTAGTTAAATTCTAACAGGTATTCGAATCTGCAATTTAAATTGAATTATTTTTGACAAAAAATTAAAAAACTATGTTTGAATTTAGTGAAATACATTTGAATTTAATTTGCTTAGTAAATATTAAAATAAGTATATTTTAAGTATATGCTAATTCTAATTATGTAGTTTAGTTGCCTTTCAAACGTAATCAGTTTTTAAACACATTTTTTAATAAAGCAATCATTCACTCCGCATGGGTGTTTGGGCTGTGCTCTCAAACTCAGTTAGTTCCACACATAGACCCAGCTGTAGAGCTCACCCTCGACTTTCATATGCACAACTCTCTCTCTATCTTTCTCTCTGTCTCCCTCTCGCTCACTGTTAGCTTATTCAGCAAGTCCCGTTGCCTGGTAACCTAGTTTAATAAATAATTCGCTATTTTTTGCTTTAGCCTTCTCTTTCATAATAGTTGCCTCTCTATCTGGCGCTTTTGTCTTCGGCAAGTCATTCATGTGTGCAATCTGTGGGTGTGACTAATTCAATTACAACGCCCAATTGTGCATGCCTCGGTGCATGCACCTCCCTCTCCCATCCCCGTATGTGTGTGAGTGTGAGGTGTATGTGTGTGTGTGAGCCGTGATTTTTCATTTTCATTTCACGCTTTCTCTCTCATTGTCTCTACTCACCTCTCTCTCTCTCTCTCCTTCTGTCTGCTGCTTTCCAATTCAGAGCGCTTAGGAATATGTGTGAATTCCATTTAGGTCTGCTCTCTGGACTCCTGAATATCGCGTTTTCGATTCACAGTTGCCCGCGTTTCGTGTCGCGTTTCCCATTTAATTGTTTTTTGTCACACGAGTTATCCATCTCTTCTGGGGCGTGTCGTGTTCAAAATTGAAATTAACTAACTGCCGCCGCCCCCTCTCATCTATGTTTGAAGCTCGTCATTCCCTGCATTTTGGCTGTGTAATCAAAATGATTTGCAGCCTGCCAGAGCCAGAGGCGTGCGAAATGCTTCAGCAATTGAGCATTGGGTGTTAATGGTCAGAAAAGGTTATCATCCATAGCTAACAATACCTAAATAAATATATGACTTACCCTTGATATTTTATGGATAACATCAATAAGAATAATCATTATTATAGAAAAATATTATGTTAATTATGTTAAGGTTTACTTCGAGATGATTTGCATGTCTGAAATGAATTAGAGAATTAACTTATAATGCATATATCCTAGTATCTACTCTTCAAAAATCTGTTTTCAAACAAACCTTTAAGTTAAAGTGAAACTAAAAATTTAATGCAAACAAAACAAATAAAACGCAAACTCTAGCAAATATCTTGTCCGCTCGCTTGATCAGCCAATGTTGGGATCCATGAGCAGCTTTTTAATCTCGACCTTCTCGGCTGCCTCCACGTAGTTCTGGCCAGTGGGCGTAGTTCCCCCTTTATTGGCGCCCTGCTTGAGCAGATACTGAACGCATTCGGTGTGCCCCTCCCAAATGGCAGCCAAAATGGGCGTAATGCGATATTTATCCACCTTATTAACATCAGCTCCGATCTGCACAAGATACTTGACCATCTTCAGCTGGCCAAAGTCGGCTGCATAGTGCAAGGGAGCACGGCCACCAATGAATTCGTTAACATCTCGGTTCGATTGGTCGAATGCCAGCTGCACCGCATCGATTTCCCCGTTCTTAATATTCCAAATTATATTCTCATCGATCTCGCCCATTTTGATATTTTCTATATATGCACAAAAGTTTTGTTCACCCAATATATATAAATATATATGTATATGTATATAGTTCACTGAATTGTAAGGCAATGTACTGGTTCGATTCCTTAGCCTAACTACGTCTGTGCAAGAGCCAACTATTCTCAAATTCCGGCGACTGATCGAAGTGTTTCTCACAAGCCCCAAGCATGGGTATAGTTGGCAAAGCTATCGACACTCGAGCATCTTGATGATCTGGGCGCAAACACATTGCGAAACGTGATTTGTAAGGTCATCATTCAAAAGGCATCGAGTGTGCGACAGACTGAGAGACAGACAAAGGCTCAGGCAAAATTAAAATGGTTATACATTCATGTAATTTAACGAACTGCCCAGCAAACTAAACTAAACTAAAACGAACTCTAAAGAGGAAGCTGCTGCAGACGCTGTAGAGGTTGCTGCTGCTGCTGCTGTCTGTGATATTGGCGATGCCAAGCGTGAGATTATCGACGATTGTATGCAGCGATGATGATGCTGATGAGGATCAGGATGCAACAACAGCAGAGCAGCAGCAGCAGCAGAAGCAGCATTAGCGACTACATTGGCATTGGCTATGGCTATGGCCATGGCCATGTCGATGTCGATGGCTCCCGTAAGCGGCCAAAACAATGCAACTGCAGCTCAAGTTCACTTTTCATGCACTGCGCTGAGCTGGAAGCTGCGCTCGAGCTCCAGTCATTGACTTCAGTTATCGCACGCCAAAAAGACAAAACAGTTGCATGCCCAGCGCTCAGACAGAACCGACAAACAGGCAGCCAGACGGAGCGACATCCAGACAGACAGACAGGTTGGCAGGCCTTAGTCAGGGCAGGCAGCGCTATCTGCATGCGATCAAATTTCCAGGGCTTCTGTTGTGCACAGCTACACTGACAGAATCAATATTAAACTCTGTGTACTTTTCGTATGAAAGAGTCAAGAGAAAATAAATAAAATATAGGAAATTTGCTCAAAATTAAATTAAGGAAATAGAAAAGTAAATTGAAAATTTTTCTTATAATAAAAAAAAATATTAAATAAAATAAATAAAATACAATAAAATATTAAATAAAACAAATCTTTAAATCCAAAAGAATTAAATAAAAATAAATAAACTTAGCTTAATACAATTTAGAAAAATGTGTATTAGAAGAAAAAGAAACTTTTTTAATGTAATCAAATAAAAAATAATAAAAAGAATATAATTTTATTTTAATAATTTTATTAATTTCAAAAAATAAAAAAATAAAAATAACACAGCCAAGATTAACAAATTATGAAATTAAAAAAAAAAGTTTTTATGAAATTGTCATTAGAGAAGGGAACTTTATCATGAGGCTTAAATTACGCCTTAAATATTTTTAAGCTTAAATTAATTTTAGTAAAAATAGAATAAACTAAAAAAAGTCCTCAGCTTCGACCCACGCTCCATTTAGTTACTTATTTTTCGCTCAGTGTATGAATTGCTGTGTATAGGGCGATCATATTGAGCGTCTGCTTTTGACATTTTGGACACAATTTGAACCTTTTACTTTTGGTTTTTGTTGTTTCCTTCAGCTGGTTTTTGGGGCCAGAGTGTAAGCCACGATTTCCAGCTTAAGCGCAGTTCCAGGAACTCTCGAGAGTAGCCGGCCCCATGCGCGACTCCCCCTCACGCTGCCTGCTGGCTGACATTGATTGAGAAATTGATTTAAGCAGCGTTCTCGCTGATTTCAATCGGTTAAAGCGCGCAACTGTCTGTCAGTTAAGCTCCTCAACAGCCCTTCGTTTACCCCTACCCCACTCCTCGTCGCCCTCGATCCTCCTGCCGCACAAGCAGCATCCTCAACAGTTTTGATTTAAAAACTTTTTGATTTAATTGCTGTAAATGCAAAATCGCATTTTTTGGTATTTTACGCGCTCTCAACTGATTCGCAACTAAATCAATTTAAATCATATGCATATCTCATGCAGCTCTGCTTCGCTCTCCATGTCCAATTTAATGGAAAATGTAATTTATAAAATTTCATAAACTTTTGCACAACTACAAAAATGTTTTGCTGTTGCTGTTGCTGCTGGAAAGTTAGTTTGTGGCAAATATTGTTGCACATGACTGCTAATGACAGATGCCAGTCAAGTTATAGTGGGGCCACGTAGCACAACAGCTGCCAACTATTGAGGTGAAGTCTACTTCAGGCTTTGCTTGACCTTCGTTCTGTTACATGGCGTAACTATATTTGTTGCGCCAATTGCGTTAAGTGAACGTTGAAAAAGTAATGCAACAATTTCTAAATTGGTGTCTCTGGCAGTTAGAATGATTCGAGTAATAAGCTAATGGATTGAGAACTATAAATATTAGACGGAATGGCATAAACAATGAAGTTCTTGAAGGTCATGCACAAAGCTTGCTTAAAGAAATGGGTTAATTGTATATTGATTGACGAAAATAGAATAATAAACACAAGGAATTGTGCTCCAACTTCTGCTTAATGTATAGATACTGTATTTTTGGAGTCCTATAATTGATATTCATAGGTTTTACTGAGTTGCTACTATTAGACCTGAACCTCTTAATATTAATGTGGTTTATAGATTATTAATCAACTTCCCTTGACAACTAACAAAGGTAGATTATATTTCGAGCTTGAAGTCAATATTAGCAGATCAGTCTCTAGTTTAGTCTAGATCATACTGAAGACAATTTCGAGTGGCTTAAATCGAATGTGTTTAGCCAGAAGACAACCGGGATCACATATCATGATGCAAATGAGCCAATGGAAAATTGTTTATCTCATGACATATTCTTGAATCTAACTGGATCAAGGCTTACGCCTACTTTGTAAAGTCTAAAATGCCCACTTTTAGTTTAGAGTAGAACGCAAAGAGGATTGTGAGAAAAATACTTTAATTTGAGTCTGGCGCAGCAACAAATTCCTTTGAATGATCATATCGATTTCATGCCACGCAGCTGGCAAGCAAGAGTAAAGTGATTTACAACTCAGCATTATGCCAGAAAATGTATGTAAAACAGCTTTGATGAACTTGCACCAATCTTAAATAGTAAATTTTCCTTTTTTAATAGTCACTACAATTTTTGTGAGAAACTAAATTTTGATAGTTTTTCTTATCAAGTGCCAATGTTCCTACGTTTGTAACAAAAACTACCTAAAACATCTATATATCAAATAAACCTACATTCACTTTAGCAAAATAATTCTAAACTCTATAACTATATAACAAGGTATAAAAAATGATATATACGAAAGCTCTTCAAATATATTAACATTTCATAAAACTTAATCAATCTACAGATTTGTTTTCTAAATATACATTTTACAATACTTCTTATAATTTGTCGTTATTGTTAAAGATCTGACCTTCTCTACAGCCTTCTGCAGCTGACTTATCTAAAGTCTACATCACATTCTTTCATTTATACTACATTGTTAAGGGTCCAACTACATCTTTAAAATATATTTCATTGCAGTTGTTTAGTATGCTAAATATACAGCGCTAAGCAGGTCTAACGCATAAATCAAATTAAATACGTATTTGTTGAAAACTGGCCTAGAGATACATATCTATAAAATAAACTAAAATATTTTGTTATGCTCATTAGGGGGCAACACTGCAGTCGGACAGATAGAGGAGCAGAGTAAGAGTGAGTGAGACATCAGATAGATAAGTAAAAACGCAAAGACCGCAAGTTAACAATCAACACTCGAGAGGCCTCAAATAATTTATAATGTCTTAATTATTTCCTCAGCAACCAAAATGTGGTCAACAAATTGTTTATGAACTCGACAACTAACAAGAAAACACTTCCTCTTCCTCTCCAGGGGCTCGGCCGGGGGCGGGGCACAAGAATGGGCAAATACGAAATGATATGCAGCAGATTAGCTATATGTGATAATATGTTTTCTCTGTTACCCATTACCGTTGCGCTCTGCTGCGCTTAATACAACCAGCCCGAAAACTCCAAAAGAAAAGCGAATTAAAAACCAGCCAAATACAAATATACAAATATATATCTATATATATATATATATATGTATTGGAGGCGGAGGCCAAACTACTAAATTGAAAATTAACATATTTCGGCAGTAGATGCTATCGGGAGCAGCGCAGACAGCAACATTGTTTGGCAGCAGCAGCAGCAGCAGGCAGCAGCAACAGCTCCCAAAGGTTAATTTAATTTTCCATTTTCCGGACGCCGGCAAAAGCAAAAAGGGAAATTTTTCATTTTTTAAATTGATGGCCGTCGGATTCAGAGTCGGGAGTTGGGAGTCGAGAGTCGTTGGCTTCCTGTTTGGCAATTGTCTTGGCACAAATCTCATGCCCACCGCAAATTGAAACTACAACATGGCATTGTCCTTAGCGATTGAATAAGAATTATGCCAAAGGATGCCACACACACACACATAGAGAGAGAGAGAGAGAGAGAGAGAGAGAATGTCTTGAGACACCCAGGGAGAGGTTTCCATGTAGCTAGCTGTCAAGCTCTTTTGGAGCATTGTGATTAATGTGCTGCTCCTGCTGCCTGGTGCCTGCTGGCTTCTGGTTGCTGACTGTTAGCTGGTGTAGCTCCTGTTTCTCAGCTTGTCCTTCGCCTTCTGCAGCCAGTCTTTGTTGCCAGCCATTGTCTATGTCTATGGGCCCTAACCATTTTGGCATGTTTGTCATTTGGGAAATTGTGCGGTAGCTGTTACAGCTAAAAGACAAACAGGCGGCAGGTAAAGCCAGCCACAACAGCTCTTCCGTCTGTCTCTTTGGCCTATTTGAGTTACTTCTGCACATTTACTTACAATGCACACAACTATAGGCGAGTCATGTTTGGACCTGCATGATTCACTTTTGCCTACCAGTCTGCCTCCTTCCGTGTGTGAGTGTCTCAAGCAATTACTGGAATTTTATATTGTCTGAACGACATTCAATTATATAATATGAATTACGTATATATTTTGCAAGTGAAATCATTTTGCTGTAGCTCAATATATACTCTTATCATACAGGTATACTTATCTCATCTTTCAGCAGGTAAATTGCGCACATAAGCAAAAACACTCAATATGCATGTTCTCTAGTTC